ACATTGGAGAAATAGGAGAAAGGGTGTTGCTCAGAGAGCCAGGGTGGCAGTCTGTGGGAGCGGGTTTCAAACGCACAACCTCAGGATTCTAAGCTCTATTTCCGTATCAGTCGGCCGCCGCTCCTAACATTCTTCATTCATATCAACACATGAAAACAGCATCAATTCCAGATGAATCAATCCTCTCTGGATCAGAGCTGAATGTAAATCCAAGCTCAGAATCAGGAAAACTTTGGATCAGATTCATATTCATACATATTATTGATATTTTCTCTTGAACTGTGCTCTATCTGCACTTTGCATGATTTCATCATCTAAACCGTTCCACCAAATCCCTGCAGGAACTGATTTGCACAAACTGTGAACCTGGTTGCATGAAATTCAGTCGTTGCTGATCAGTCTCCTGCAGCTCTGTTAGTTTTATCTGATCCAATTACAGTCAGAGACCAAGATGGACGTTTACTTAAATATCATCTAATATCATCGTTATGGGTTGTTTTCGCTGTAGTTCGTCTAGAACCGCCCTCTCCGTTCTGCATCCGCTGAGCTAGTTAGGGTCCCTGATGACAACCTGCCAATAAAAAGAGACACTAGAACTCTGAGCTACAGGGAATCTAACCATAGATGAAAATAACCATGGATACAAATGGAGAGCATGTTACCTCAACCAATACGTTTATTTCTGTCTCTTCTTTTATTTTATTCTTGCTCTCTACCAGCGAGTAGGATTTTATTTTAGATTTCCACTTAGAATCCAGTATTTCCAAAAATAAAAATCAATGAGAAGGTTTTTCAAAACTGGAAAGTTAGAATTTTCTAAGGTCATGCCTGCATGCATTGATGATGGAGAGAAAAGCATAAATATGAAACTTTCTATATTAGAAAAGCAACTTAAACTAGTTGCTCAGGTTCTCATAAGCGGAACAGATGGACCCAGTATTCAAGGTGAGTCAGACAATCGGAAGTTTCAAAACATTTATGAAACGACAGAAACGCAGGCTGGTGAGGGTAAGATGATCGCAGTGGCTGCAGGAGGGGAGGGGCACCGCCCAGTCACTGAAACTCTGGAGGGAGAAACACAGGTAAGTGACCCCAATCATCTGACAGGTGATGATTATCCATATGAGTCACTTACCTGATTTAACAGAGATGCGGCTCAGAGCCG